TTTTGTCGTTAGGAAAACTGGTAGGTGAATTCTCAAACAGTAAACAACACTGAAACAAAAATCCCTTACATTTAGACTGGATACCTGAAAATCTTTCAGGTAAACTCGGACGGAGTTCAGGAAATGACGTCATCGTCTCTGACCTTTGAGGCGGACGTTGTTCAGAAACAGGAAGCACTGCTGGTGCGGTGTTAGCGGTTCTCACATAGCTAGCGTATCTTTGTAAAGTCTGATTTTGATGTTCAACATAAGCATTCAACTCACGAAGGGTTTGAGCTTGTCCCTGGATTTGGGCATCCTGTTCCCCAAGTCGCCTTCGGAGGTGCTCTGCTGGGTCTTGTGTTTGGCCGCAGTGTTCTGTCATGATGGGCTAAGGACTTGACCCATACGCAGAACACTACTAGAGACTGAGTAAAAGTTTGAACAATGTTTATTGAGAAACACACAGAGAATATAAAGACAGGTTCAGGTGCAGGTCCGGGACTGGTCTTAATTCTTATCTGGAGAGATGAGAGTTTGATTAGCTTTGTGGCTTGATGATTTGATGACAGAGTTGAATTCTTTAATGTACCTGAAGAGGTTCTGACAGATCCAATGAGAGAGGGAACCGGTTGGGTCCGGAGATGGTTGGAGAGGCAGAGAGTTAAGCAGCAGCAGCGTCTCGCTTCGAGCTGGAGAGTTTTCAATCTTGGGTTTGTGTCCAAGCTCTTCCTCTGAAAGCTAATGGAGGAATCCAGATTGAGATCTTCAGGTTTGGCTTACTTGGGCAGGCAGGCAGGTTCTCAGATTAATCTTATCCAGAGCTTCAGACGTCGGAGGGGTTTCCTGTGATCAAAGAAGACAGAGACAGATTAGAAATGCTTGTTTCTCTCTAGAGTCTACAAGTATTCCTAGATTCTTAGAGGCTCAGGTTCGCTAACTAAATTTGGTCAACACTGCGGCGTCGAAGGAAGGTCTGACTGCTGCTTATGAAGGGTGGACTTCTGATGAGCTGATGATCCTCAGGTGTGGTGAGGACTCCAGCTCAGGAAGCCCACAGCGCTCTCTGCTGGAGACAGGTGGCAGATCTCCAGATCCCAACACTGCGTAAGACACTCTTAGCTGACCAAATTTAAGTTGGTGTTCTACTTTTAGAACAAGCCAGAAGACATTCCGTTTCATTTTCTGAATTGCTTGCTGGCACAGACAGCCTGTATTGAAAACTAAATTCAAGAAATGTTGAATGGCGCAGGAATCTCATACCAATAATAGGCTATTTATCGGTCTGGATTGACACATTAATATGATGTTGGAGGTTGAAAATCATGCAGTTATTTTTTGAGAATGTTTTGATAAAAAAAAGAAATATGAAAAAAACACTCAAGCCAGGGGAGGATCTAGGATTCTAGGAGATCAGGGGCTTAGCCCCGAGGGTGAAGATGAGAGAGTAGACTTTCTTCTAAATCCCGTTCTAATGTAAAATATGACAGATTACTGGATTAAAGAAATTTCTACTATACTACATGCTATCACACATAACAATTCCCCCTCCATTACATGGGAATAAATGAATTCACCTGCAAGTCTTTAACTGTGTTTATTCCTCTCTTCATCAACAACTAACTCTGTGGATTTGGTCACATTTGATCATTATTTGCCAAAGTTATCAGAGGGAAATAATATATTTTAGCCACCTGATCTGTTTCCCCATAACATGGGAAAAAAATAGACAAATCCTTTGAAACTGTCATTTATTTTTCATATATGTTTAAAACATTTATTATTTTATGTTTTAAAATCCAAAATAGTTGTTGGTTTGATTATCTTTACTTAATGTACTTTAATTCTCAATTCCAAATGTCTGCAGTAGCATTGCTCCAGACATTTTGAATTGAGAAACATCTTCAAACTTGGAAAACAAAGTCCAGTGGTTTTGGTTTGAACTTTTTTTTTGGAATATATGTGAATTGTTAGATAAACATTTAAACAGAAAATATATTTCATAAAGATCATCAAAGGGGGGATTGATTATATCAGGTGGCTAAAATATACGAATCCCCTCTCATAACTTTGGCAAATAATTATCAAATGTCACCAAATCCAGAGGAATATGAATAAATGAATAAACACAGTTGAAGTCCTGCAGGTAAATTAATTTCTTCCCATGTTATGGAGGAGGAACGGATTATTTCAGGCAGCTGAAACATCAAGTCTCTCCTCCTCCCGTATCTTTGGGAAGTAAAAAGCATCTGTTTCCAGATTCTCAAAAATTGTTTGTGTGATATCATGTAGTATACTAGGAATGTCCTTAATCCAGTAATCTGTCATATTTTACATTAGAAGGGGATAAATCAGAAAGTCTAAACTCTCATCTTTTCAGGAGCTCTTAATATTTGTGTCCTGCTATCAGCCGGTTTCCGTCCTCTGATATCAGCAATGAAAAATGATAAATACTCACTACTTGTTAGAAAACTGTGTTTGGTGACTGACTTTTATTTCTGTCAGGTTTAAGTTACAAAAGTTGGAAAAAGACGATTTTCTTGGCGTTTAAAATAACACAAAATAGCTTAAAATGTCCTCGTCTATTTATTTATTTTACAATTTTGTAAACAACAACTGGATCTTACAACCGTGACATAATTATAGCTGATTTTAGCGAGAAATCGATCAGACCCGTCGTGAAAATGGTCCCATCCGCCATGTCCGCCTCTCTGGCTTCAATGCGCTCCCGACACAAGGGGAACAGAATTCCATAGAACACCGGGACAAACAACGTCTGGAAGTCAGTCAGAGTTTCTTCTTCTTCTTCTTCTTAATGATTTTTATTGGCGGTTGGCAAAAAACGTTAGGTGAGCATTACCGCCACCAACTGGTATGGAGTGTGGACTACATGGCAGAAAAAATAAAAAAAAAATAAATAAAAAAAAAATAAAACTATACCCTATTATACAACCTAATCTGTTTCAAAAATTCAAATATAACCCGATATCCTCTGCTTCCTGATTCCTTCTGCAATAAATCGACAATGTCAAGTTTCATTTTCATGTCACTAAGTTTCCTTATTAACCTGTTTCTCTGTATCGAATATTTACTACAATTTAAAATGACATGTTCCACAGTCTCATCTTCCCCACAGTCACATTTCCCTGTCTGATGTTTCCCTATCAAAAATAACGATCTATTCAATCCAGTGTGTCCTATTCTAAGTCGAGAAATAATAATCTCTTCTCTCCTGTTCCTTTCTGATCTTCTCATTGGTCCAATTCTCTTTTGTATTTTATAAAGCCACCTTCCTTTCTTTTCTTCATTCCATAACTTTTGCCACCTCTCTTTTGCTTTTTGTTTAATTATACCCTTTATTTCTGTTATACCAAAACTAACATTAATGTCTACCCTTGACTTATTGGTACTCTCCTTAGCCATCCTGTCTGCCCTTTCATTTCCTTTTATCTCGTTATGTGCCGGAACCCAAACAAAATTTACCACTAGCCCCATCATATTTATTCTGTAAAGTGTTTGTTGTATTTCAAGTAATATATCTGGTCTACTGACTGACTGATTATTTTGCAAACTGACTAATGACGAACTGGAATCTGAGCAAATGATAGATTTTAATGGTCTTACCTCTTCCACCCATTGAACTGCTAAAAGCAAAGCTAGCATTTCACCGGTATATACTGAAACTCCATCACTAATCCTTTTTCCAACATTAATATGAAACTGTGGTATAATAAATGCTATCCCTACCCTATTAGCAGTATTTTTTGATGCATCTGTATATATTTGTATATAATTATAATAGTCATTTAAGTGTTCTTGTACTATATATTTATTCATAATATGATATTTATCTTTTTCCTTCTTTTCTAATAATGAGAGATCAACTTTAGCATCAGGAAGTATCCAAGGTGGAATTGCTGTTATTGGAACTGTCTGACATATATCTAACTGATTTAAATTAATTTCATTAACTTTAGTGTTTATTACCCATCCAAAGCTCTTTAATTGTTTCTTTTCCTTTTCCCATCCAGGTTTAAGCACCTCTAATGTTGGACAGTCAGAGTTTCACATCCATGGAACATCAGTCTGTTTAGCAACAGCCATTGGTGAGAACTTCTTCTTCTGCACGGGAATGCTACAGGCTGCTTTGCTGTGCATGCTGCCACCATCTGGTGAATTCCAGTACTGCACATTTTACTCAGATCAGCTCAGAAGCGAGATCCGGGGCTCTGGGGGAAACATCCGGGGCTGCAGCCCAAGTAGCCGCCCCCTAGATCCGCCACTGACTCAAGCAAAAGGAAAACAAAAGGGAAGGACGAATGGGAAAAAAAAGTCCACCCTTAACCCATCTGAGTCAGCAGCATTGACATGATATAGCCACACATAACTGAAACGCTCAGCAAATGCTGGCCTTGAGATGGAAGGTGGAGGTGTGAATTACAGAGAAGTCCAGAAATCCAGAGGTGGACTGGGGCTGTAGAGAGATGATGGAGTGGGTCAGGAGATATTATCATAGTTACAACCCCACCTGGGATCTGGTTGCCATGGAGTGTGTAGGAGGGGGGTTGGGAAATGAGAGGATGCCAAAACTGGGGGCTGGTCTGGATGCAATTGTGATGTAGTATTTTGTGTAGAGGATCCCCCTCAAAAATCCTATCATGGGATCCATCTGTTTTAATCAGCATTTAACAAAAGATTTTAAAATTTGTTTAAGTTTTAATCTTGGATCAGGAATATTTGAGTCAGTCAAAAAGAAAATTATTATTAGGATTACTAATAAGACACATATAGATAGGCTACTTGTGTTTTACTCTGAAGCAAAGAAACAGTATTTGGTTTGCCTGTTTGTTTGTTTTATTAAAAAAATGCTTTCACGATTCACACATAAAGGGATTTCAGAGGGCGTAATGAGCGTTAGGCGTCTCCCTATTCTTCTTACTTCCAACCTGAAGATGTCGCTCTGCGTCCTTCTATTAAATCGATGCTGCGCGCGCGCATGTGCGCGAGTGACAGTCGAGGGTGAGACGGAGCGCCTCTGTCTGCACCCTCTCCGGTGCCGCTTCTCCGTGTCGCTGCAGTGCTTTGCTGCGCCCCTGCCTATCCGTCTTCTTTCTTTCCCCGCTTTTACTCAAAGCCTCATTTGTTTTTTCTTTTCTCACCTGCGTCCTCCGCACCCCCCCTCCCTCATCCTCCCTGCGGATGCCTTTATCCTTGCACCCCCACTAACCCGCACACAGCATCCCGGCAAATGGTCCTCCTTCCATCCACACGGCAACTCTGGACGCAGGGCGCAGCGAAGAGGCGCACCTTTCCTTTTTGATCTGATCTAAGCTCACTGCGGATTGACTTGGAAGAGGGGCGGATCAGAGGCAGCAGGGGAGCGAGGAGAAGATTGAAAGCGGCCAAAATCTCATTTGGGTAAGTCGTTGCTCTCATCTTCCAGTTGTATCCTGAATGAGATTAACTAGAAAGAAGCTGTCAGCTCACCAAACGCGTGTCTTTAAAGTCTGCTCTTTGGTTCTTCTATGCAGCCAGGAAATGCACTGGAAATTTGGGATTATTTGCTGGACACAGTTTAGAGACTGTTTATGTGTGCATGGTGCTCATTGTTTTTATTCTTATCATTGTTTTTGCTGCAGCTTTGCTGTGAAGCATCTTTCGGTGAAATGCTTCCAAATGTGCTCAGATTGTCCAAGAGACAAGATTCTCATGACTGCTGACCTAAATCTACAGCTGGTTGTGGTAAAAAGTGCAACACAATGTAAACAAAAAAGATCAGCACATTTATCCTCTTCCATTTAATTCATTAAGACAATTGCACAACTGGAAATCCTCATGGCAGAAAAAGTTTTTGCTGAAATTTAAAGTATAGAGCGAAGAATCTGTACCTTTAACCAATTTGCTTGATGCTTTGATCAATAGACATCTCCAGGAGCAGAGACTGAGTTCTGGCAGTTTGTCAAGGGCACACAATATATCTTAAAGATGATGTGGGGGAGGGGGGGTTCAGCTGCTGTGAGGGCATGGCGTAGGTCCATGTTCAGACTGATGCTTGTCACATCCTGGGGTAGAGAGTGATTGACAGCTGATGCACAGATATGAGAGGAGCAAAATCTGTGCTGCTGAAGTGCATGCTCTGTAGGATCAGCCCCCCCACCCCCTCACTTTTTTCTCTCTCCTGTTACTATAAACTTTGGGCCAAGATCTGCAGGTAAAGCAACTTTCCACCTGCAAGGTAAGCAAATGCTAGACAAGGAGACTGCAATTACATGTGACTCTCCTCAAACTGACCTCTGGTGATGGTATAAGGGGACACAGATACTCATCCTGCTTAAAAACAGCACTTTTCAAGTACTTTAATGGTTAATTTAATACTTTCCAAGCAACATATCTTCAAGAAACTTCAGATTTTTTTTATTGTTAACAGATAAAGAGCATTGCAAAGGAGTTATCAATGTGGGAACTATCTCAACTATTCTTGTGCAACCTCTCTCCTTCTTCACCCGTTCTCCAAATTTCCTAAAGATTAGCTTCTTTTATGTCCCGTAAATGTCTCCAGTGGGCATGAAAAGCCTCGTCCTTCATCACGGACACAGATTAGGCTAATTCACACAGCAGCGCAGGCCTAATGCCTAATCACTATGCTGCGCCTGCAGAACAGAGCAGTCTTTCTACTGTGGCTGCCAGGGAAAGGGGGGGAGAGTAAAAGAGGGGAGCAAGGCTGGCCGCCAGTGCCTATTGATCGGACGGAGGGGATACTGTCAGGCGACCACGGGATGGAGTGCTGACGACAGTCCAACGAGCCACAGTGATGAGCTGGCCAGGCAGTTGCTTTTACACACTGAATAATGTTGATGTTGGTGAAAGAGTTTGAATCATAGTCGTCCTCCAGAACAGGGTCAGAGAGGATTTAGAAGATGCTGCTTCTGTCGTGAACATGGAAATATTTAATCATCAGAGAAGTCAAAGTGAAGTTTGGTGTATCGCACTGATAATGGCCAAGCTTTTTTCTGTTCTTAAACTAGATTCAAGTCTTCAAGGCTAACTATTTGTCGTAGTCAGTGCACATAGAGATATTCATTATTTTAGCCTTGGTTTTTGCCCTGAAGGATTAGAAAACAGCAACTTTATTTTATTTTTTTTAATAATTTAATCATTCTACATAGGGCTTCCTAACTTTCCAGATACCATTCAGATGATCTAAATATGTCTAACTGATAACATTTCACTAAATCCATAACTTCTGTTATTTACTGAGGCCTAGCCTTTAACCAGAAATCAAAGAAGCTGTGTTGCTGTTTTAATTTGTATCACCATCACAGATGCAAGAAAGCTTCACTTTAGCATAATTTGATTTGGGAATATTCAGGAAATAATTAACTTAAATGAATTATAAATGATTAGATCCATTTAAATGAATCAGAAAATGAAGCCAGATGATTTCATTGCGTCAAAATTTCTGTATAACTTTTACATTACGAGCATAAATAGATGCATCTTACAGAATACTGAATGGTTAACATTTTGATGCTAATAAACTTAAATTATCTGTTTTTTTACTTTCATCTTTCTTTCAATGAATCTCTTTGTGCAATGTTTTCGAGCCTCAGGCAGTTATCTGACAGTTAATCGACACCTTGGACTTTATTGATTGCAGATTCGTGGCACTATGCTGGATGCTAACTGGCAGCCACAAAGTGATCTTTAATCATACTAGCTGTTACAAAGGTTAGTGATGGGTGTCTAAAGAGCTTGATTAGTAGTCACGGAAACATGAAGTATTGAAATGTTACATTCATACTTTTACACCAATGTACATTCGGATAACATTTGCAAATTATGTTTTTTTTTTCAGTCTGATCAGGTATTTAGGTATTTCAATCAAATTTGTCCATATGGGTCACTGATAACACAACTTAATATTTCCTTCAGTATTAATGCACAGATTGTGGGTTTAATCGTTAAACGCACATTGAGATAAGGGTGGTGATATTTAAAGACAAACACCAATGACATTTGCAGTTTTTTTTTCAGATGTTTAAATATACCTATCATGTCACTTATTTTCAGCTTTAAACTATGCATTTATTCTATATAGAATAAAAGAACCTGACTCAAGGAGTTTGAGGCTATGGTAGATTTACTCTTGTTTAATCAAGGCTGAAATTGTACATGAAGTTTCAAATAGAGATAATTCACACATTTTGTGCTCCTAGAATCAGAATCGTATGATTAATGACATGATTAAAAATGAATGTCAGGCTGTAGAAATTGTGACATCATGTTGTTGTGTGTGTACAGTGTCAACCAGTAAAATAATTCAGCTTTCTAACATAATCCAAAAGTATTCAGTAGGGTCAGATTAGGACTATTTCAGAAATAATTATAATAATTAATTGAGCATCAAAGAGAGATGGTTGCTGGAGCATAGATCAAGTTTATTTTCTGGGCATGTCGTGGGATGTAGCCTAAGAGTTGGCTTGTGAGTGTGTGACTTGGGTGGTGACACATTTGTTAGTTTTACTGATATGAATATTCATGGTTGTGACCTTTTTATGTGCGCTGAGATCTGTAATTGGATTTCAAATGTAGTCTAAGGTTGGAGCCTGTGTGTATTTGAGTGCTGTGCACATAGAGCCTTATAAAGGTTATGCTTTCCCCTTTATAAATCAATCAGTCAGTCAATCAGTCAAAAGTGTATTAACAGATCTTTTCCGATTTGAATTGAAAATTGTCTCATTTAAGTCCCACAATATTGAACCAATTTTTGTTTATCATGAAGAAAATCTAATGAGTTGCATTCAAGTGTCGTTTTGAAGAGTAAGATATCCAGAGTAGGTAGTGCTAGTGAGATCTTATTAATACTTTGGTTGAAGTCTTGGTTTTTAAAACTGATTAATTCTTTTTCTTTTTTTTTTTTTTTCTTTTTATCCAAGTAAATATTTTTATTCCCTATAAATCACACGAACACTATGCATTTGTACGTTGAGCATCAATTCAATGTTTCTGTGTTTTCTTTTGGTTTGCTCATTTTGGCTATAACATTACACACAGGTGGATCCTATTTTCTAATGAAGTCACTGGTGATTGGTTTCAGTGAACTTGGAAAAAAAGAGGAGAAATATCCTTATTGTTCTACAGGGGGGAAGTTGAGGCATGCTAGATGCAAACAAAAAAAAGGAAATTCAATTAAAAAGCATGAATCAAAGATAAGAATAGACTGAATGGCAAAGAAAAACCCACAACACAGAAGATATATACTGTGTGGGTGCCAAATTGCCATAATCACAATAAATTAAATTAACATGGACAACTGACTAGAAAACTCCCCAAATAGACATATCTGGATGTATATTAGAAACAAATAAAAACACAATTCATTGAAAAAATGAGAAGAAGAAAAAAATAGCCGCATGGATGTAGCAGCAAAGGATATAAAGTCTATAAGCACAATTGAAGAAGGATCTGCACTAACACTCTCTTGTGCTTTTTTTACACTTGTGTGTACAAAATGACCAATAAGGTCGGTCTAAGTCTAAGGATGCAGAAGATTTTTACTGCTTATTCAGGTATATCACAGTTAAGAATAGCTGAAAGCCTATGCAAACTACACCATGTATCATTTTCCTTTATCTTAAAAAATCTGAAGCGGAAGCAAAACATTTTTTGTGATCTATCATATATGAATGACGTGTTCTAATGTTTCATACATGACATAATGTGGAAATGTGTGTTGCTGCATGTAGTTCAGTATTTTTTTCATACTTTGTACAAAGTTGTCTTACTTATGTCCTGGCTGCCCATCTGTTCATTTCTGGAGCATGATTATGCCTTCTCTTTCAGTATTACTCACCTCTTTGACCCATCAGATGAAATCTATTTGTGAGAAAGTAATTAGGAAGCTTCCTCGCTGTGGCTAGTGTGCTCTAATTTTCAATTGGTTTTGAAAAAAAAAAAGAGTTGAAAGGACCTTATATGTTTGCTAATTAGAGAAAAAAAGCTGGAGCTGATGTCTGTGGGAAAGACAAGCCAGACTTGGCATAATGACATGTTACATGGCAAAAAGCAGCCTGGGTGTATTGTTGTCAGCCTCATCCCTAGTTGATGGAACGGCAACGTGGTATTATCTCGCTGTCTGGTCAAGTGAGTAATGATATGTTTGATGAGATACACTATATTGCCAAAAGTATTTGCTCACCTGCCTTGACTCACATATGAGCTTAAGTGACATCCCGTTCCTAATCCATAGGGTTCAATATGACGTCGGTCCACCCTTTGCAGCTAGAACAGCTTCAACTCTTCTGGGAAGGCTGTCCACAAGGTTTAGGAGTGTGTTTATGGGAATTTTTGACCATTCTTCCAGAAGCGCATTTGTGAGGTCGCACACTGATGTTGGACGAGAAGGCCTGGCTCTCAGT